AAACGCTTCACAGTAAATAATCAACTTGATGAATTTAGCCTTTATTTCTACCTATGCAAATGAACTTATTTTTACTAATTTGCTATTCAAAACCTTGCCAATATATTACAGCCTCTGCTTTGTTAGTGAAATGTATGCTTGAGTGTCTTTGACTATTTACCCTTTCTGGTGTGTAACTACCTATGGAAGTCAAATGGTGAAGCTTCTGCTCAGTGGGTGCGTCTACATTAGATGCTTAAATGCACAGTAGCCTAGTTTACTGCGCAGTAAGTGCACAATCTTACTGTGCAGCAAAAACCCTTAATCAAATAATCATGCATAAATTCGCTACCTGCAAATGTAGGGGCACCTGGGCAGCCCCCCACCCACCGCACTCACTGCAGCATCTGCACCTGCAGGGGAACGGCCAGAGGCTGGGGTGCTGGCTGCCTGCCCCCTGGCTGTGCCGCTTAGGCACCCCCACCCCATGGCCACCTTGTAAATAGTTTTCATGGGGAAGGTTTATCGGTGGGTGGAGTGGGTGGTGGAGGGGCTGTGTTTGTTGAGGGGGAAGGGGAGCTCTGGTTGATTTGAGGGAAATAAAAACTTGTTCTTGTAAGAGAGAGGAGAGGCTACAAGACCTGAACCTGTACAGCCTCCACAAGAGAAGGCTGAGAGGGGATCTGGTGGCCGTCTATAAACTGGCCAAGGGGGACCAGCAGGCAATGGGAGAGTCCCTGTTCCCCCGAGCACTACTGGGAGTAACAAGGAACAATGGCCATAGGTTGACTGAGAGTAGATTCAGGCTAGATATCAGGAGGCGCCACTTCACAGTTAGGGTGGCTAGGAGCTGGAACCAACTTCCAAGGGAAGTGGTGCTTCCTTCTACCCTGGGGGCCTTCAAAAGGAGACTAGATAGACACCTTGCCGGGGTTTTTTGACCCCAGTACTCTTTCCTGCCCATGGCAGGGGGTTGGACTTGATGAACTGCTCAGGTCCCTTCCGGCCCTACCAGCTATGAAACTACGATGTGTGCAGTGAGTGTGGTGCTGGGGGCAGGCAGGAGGAGTGGAGGGTCTGTGGGCAGTGCTGCAGGTGATGGAGTGATGGTGGAGGTGGTCAGCCAGCACCTTCCAGACCCGACCATGGCAAGGCTGCAGCTCTCCTAGGGCCTCAGCAGGAGGGTCTGGTGCTGCTGCTGCCGCAGGCAGTGCTCCTGATGCCAGGCATCCCCTGCATGCCATGCTGCCTCCACCCGGGCGTCGCAGGTGTTATGCAGCATATAGGCTCCAACGATGATCCAGGGGAGGTTGTCCTTGGTGAGCTCAAAGTGGGTAGTGAGGGAGAACCAGTGGCCCTTGAGGCACCCAAAGTTGCACACCAGGGTGTGGGTCCGGTTCAGGCAGCGGTTGAAGTGGGCCTGGTGGCCAGTGTAGGGCTGCATGAGCCAATGCAGGAGCGCGTAGGTGGGGTCCCCAGTGGGGAGAGGTGGGATGGCCATAGCACCCAGCCGCACATCCTGCACCCCTGGTGCAAAATGGCCACTCTCCACCAGGCCCAGCAGGCAGGAATTCCTAAATATGTGGGTGCCATGAGCACTGCCCACCCAGCTGGCACTCACAAGCATGAAGGCCCCACAGTGGTCCACAACAGCCTGAGCACCACAGGGTGAAAGCCCCTCCAGCTGTAATAGGGGTGGTCTCTGTGGGGCAGGCAGGTAATGGGGATGTGGGTCCCATCCAGGGCCCCAATGCACTGGGGGAGTCCCAAGGCACAGAACCCCACCACCACTGCCAGGGTCATGAACACAGAGGGCAGTCTGCCAGCATGTCCTCTAATGCACCGCACACCTCCAGGATGGCCTTTCCAGTGGTGGCCTTGCCTATGCCAAACAGGTGGCCAACATACCAGAGATTGGCAGGTGTGGCCAGCTTAAGCAGGGTGAGGGCCAGGTCAGTGCCTGTGGGGAGAGGCAGCCACAGGTCAGTGTCCTTCCACTCCAGATGGAGCTGTAGCTGCTCCACAAGGTCCCAGAAGGTGGCCTGGGTCATCCTGAAGGCCTCCAGCCACTGTTCATCGTCCCAGGTGTGCTGGACAACATGCCACCACCAGTCCTGGCTGGCCCAGAGGCCCCTGTGGTGGCGGGTCTGAAGGCTCAAGAGAGTGACAGCAGCCCTGATGGTGGCATCCAGAAGCCCCTCATCAGCCTCCCTTCTTGTGGCAACTGCACAGAGGTGGTGGCCCTGGGATGGCAGGCTGCAGCCAGACAGGTAGTCACTGCATGTTGGGGAGCCGGGCAGGCCCAAACAGCCGTGGGCCAGGCAGCAGTCAGTGGGATGGGCCGCTAGAGCCAGCGTGGTGGCCATCAGGAGCCCAGGGCACTGGTCATCACTGCCAGGGGCAGGGGCTGAAGCAGCCATATGACAGGGAGGCAGTGAGCAAGGAGAAAGCTGCTGCATGCTGCCCCTGCACTAGGCACACTGCCGCTGGACAGGGAAGTGGCTCGCCAGAGACCAGCAAGTGGGGCTGCCTTTGGAAGATAGCTGACAGCTGTAGTTGGAGCCTGAAGCTCCTCCTGGTGGCGGCAGAGGCCCATTGCAGGGCTGCAGGAAGTTTGGTGCTAAGAGCAGGAAATCTGCTCCCAAGTCCCTGCATGTGTAGATGTCTGCCTGAGAAAACTTAATCCAGAGAAGTTTACACTCCACTAAACTGAGCCTGGATCAAATGCATCTGTAGACGCACCCACTGACTGGATAACTGAAACCTGGAAAGCAGTCAAAAAAGATTTCAAGATGGAGATTTGAACATTTCCCTCATGCATTAGTGTTTGGTCAAGACTTTTCCTTTCTGTGAACATAAAAATCAGATGTCTCCCACAGCAAAGTGATATAAACAGTATTTTCAGTGATGGTCTCTGGCTGGGAGAAGTCACAGATTTTGGTATTCCACCAGACGGCAAGTTTACCCATGACACAAAACGATTCATTCAGTTCTAGATAATGCCTGAAGAGATGGGGGCTCTTGTGATAAGCCACCAAGAAAGGCATAGGAAAGGGCTGCAGCAGTTCCCATCAATGTTCTATTTGTTTTTAATCAGAGTCCTGTACCCAGACAGAGCAACTTATGGGCATTTTGCTGCCATAGGTGAATTCTTTGGAACATGTGTACCCACCTCTACCACACCCTTAGTTTTCCACTTATACATAATTGCCAGACACAGAAGGGGTGGCTCAACATAAAGCTGAAGGCTCAGTGGCTCAATAAGCTAAACATACTGTTATTCAAACCTCCAGGAAGCAACTGTGACCACCTGAAACCTGAGATCCTGCTCCTGCCTTTGTTTCAAGGTAATTTGCATCATCCCCGATTCTCACAGAAGGTGAGAGGCTCCATACCAGCTATGAACCGACTTTCCAGAGGAGTTTTCCACCTACTGACTCCTCTGTGAAATCCTATGAAATATGAACTTTCATTTCTGCCCAGGGAACTTTTACAATCTTTTCTCCAATGCCTGATGAAGGGTGTTTGTGCCCGAAAGCTTGCAATTAAAGACATTTTTTGCAAAAATCTTGTTGGTCTGATTGCATCCTGATTGTGTTATTGAAACCTGACATTCTGTCATATCCTACTGCAATTTTTAAATGGTACCCAGGCCAACAGTAAGCAAAGAAAACAATCCCTTATTTAAAAGGAGGGTATTTCCCCACAAGTTAAAATGCTCCGTATTTTACAATTTAAAATCCTGTTACTTTAAAATTATGTTTAATTCTTAAAAATGTACATTATGTTGCCTATCCTACCTGGCAAAAGTGCCACTTCAGTCTGTCAAGCCTATTCTCTTGCCATCTTCTGTTGCACCACTATGTATCACTACTCATCTCGTCCTCTCAGTGTCAAATTCAATAATTTAATATAGTGCTGAATTAAGAGGGTTTTGTCCTCATGGTCTTCTTTATTCCTCTTTGCTACTGCCAAATGTGAGAGGTACCAGTATGGTTGGACCTAGTAATTACCCTACCTGAAGATTTTTTAATACCCCCTAGCATTTCCCTAAAAATAACATAACTATATATTAAGTAGGTAAATATCCCTAAACTATAATTTACACTGTCTGTTCTTTATTGCAGCATTTTTACACATTTAGAAAGTGAGACAAATTCTAAAGATACCCTCCCTCTATATACAACTTGATTCTTAATTGTATTGCATTCTCATTAGCTTTCTTTCAGAAACCAACTTAACACAACATTGTGGAAACATTTAAGGGCCTATATTCTAGGCAGCTGTCATTTGATTAACTTTTTACAGAGTTTTATCAAGTATGAATTTAGATTAAAAATGTAAAGCTGTTTATATAGGTACTAACATTTGCACTATTTAAAAAACAATGACATCTTGTGGCCAAACAGAGAACTCTACGATTACACTAAAAATGTTACGAAAAAAATCCTGGATTTAAAATAAAAATTTAAACAGATTAATTTATATACTGCAACATCAAGGACCCACTATAGTACCGGCATAAATGACATAATCTAAGCAGCTAAAAAACCTGATGTCTTGTATATTGTACTAGTTAGAAGGAAACATTGACGTAGTATTTTTGATGCAATCCTGATTTCTTCCAAAAAATCTACCAAGTCCTGCTTCCCAGAACATTGGAAGATCAAATGACTAGAGACTGGCTCTTTACGTGCAAATCCATGCCCTTTCAGTCAATATTCAACTGATAAACTCTCTCACTAGACTTTTCACATCACCAGTGCTTCTATGGCTGTCTCTGTCTGTCAAGGTTCTTACTTTGCTCCTGTACATCTGAAAACACATCTCTACCCAGAACAATACCTAGCAAAGTTCTCTATCCACATAGATATGATTTCTACGCTCATGTCTTATCTTTCATTTGGGTGGTGACATTTATCCTTGTTTTGGTGTGAGGTCCTATAGTGCTTCCTAGAAAATCCATTTGACTTACTGTATTAGCAAGTGAACTTCCAAAATAGTTACAGATAGCCCACTCAGCCAGTTGCAAATGAAACTTACTTTTGTTCCTTTTATTGTTGTTAGACAAAGCTAATAGCTTAAAAGTCTAGGAATAAGGTATGAACCTGATTGTCTGGGGGGGAAAATTGATTCATGACAGGTACAGCTTAGCCTTCGTTCTGTCAAAATAAAGTTCTGTGGTGCTTATAACAGTTAAATCTTAAAAACCAAAGTATTGTCCGATTTGCACAGCCATAAAGATCCACTGGAATTTCTTCCAATAAGGGAGATTTATCCTGGTATCTTAACCAAGAATTCCCGTTTCCCCTGTTTTGCACCAACAGCCCGCCTGAGTCCTGCTGTTCTTCCATTCTGCGGAATGTATGATTCCTAGTTGTACAAAGTTTATGAAGCTCTTTCAGACAAAAAGCAATATGCAAACATTCAGCTTTATTATGTGTGGTGCGGTGTTGTACCCTAATTTATGAAAGTCATTGCAGACCTATTGTCAAGGTATGGTGGTTCTTCTGATGTTATCATGAATCTTACAGTACTTGGTGCTTCTTCAAGTGTAATGTCTTGTACTCACAACAATCTCAACTTTTCTGCAAAATAAGGAACTAAGATTTTTGGCCTTGAATACATAACTCTTACTGGTTCTGAATCCTGAAGGCAAATGTAAAAGCCTCAAATGTATCATTTTTTGGTTTTGCTTTTTAAATCTCACCATTTTAAAGCCAAACTCATGATCTTTTTGAGGCCTGATTCATGCTTTTTAAATAATGCCTATATGCTGTTGGGCAAGATAAGGAAGACATTCACTGATAAAAATGTCTCAATTGGTAAAGTAAGAAAGTCTCTTTCTGATATGCCTTTGGCTATTAATGGCTTGGAAACTACTGAAACCCCCTGCTTTAAAAATACAGACACTGCCTTATTTGCAAGAAATGATTAAGTAAGCTCTTAGGGCTAACAGCATAAAATCTGTTAGTTTTAAAGTTTTCTGCTACACTATTATTAACACATGTCAAAATTGAAAATCAATCCTTACTTAATTAAGAAAAATAATGGAGGGTAGGTTATGTGGAGGTAACAAAAATTTGTTGCCCAAATTCTTATGCAAGCCTGCTGATTTCACTGTAGATAGTGTAACTAATGGCAGACTGTCATATCCACTTTTAAAGTAAAAAAAAAAATCTGTTTTAAAATAAAATGAGAACAAAAAAGCCACAAAATGCATTTGAAGCTCCAGTTATTCCCATCAGATTAGACTTTTCATTTCAGAAAAGCATAAATAAAAATGTTTCATCTTGGACTACTCCATTCTATGGTCCTGCGTAAATTTCATTTCTCCATCTCTGGTCTCATCTGATGGATGCTCTCTTGTCTTTTCTGAGAGTGGCTTAGGTCTATCAAACATAGTACTTTCTTCATCACTGGGATTCCCAGTAACTATGATCCAGTAATTCTTATCTTCTTCAGCTTTATGGGAATCCAGATAAGTGTGACAGATGACTTCATATTCCTTTCCAAAGTATGAACTGTACAGAAAAATAGAAGAGGTACAGTGGTATCCATATTATATCTTAATAGTAAGAGTTGAATAGGTCCACAAAACTGTAAGTTACTGCTCTAAACAATTTGCAAATAGTCCTGCCAACATTTGTTTGCATTTATTCAGATATATTATTATACATTTTTAAAAACTGTTATGTCTTCATCACAATTTCAGAAATTAAAAATCATCTAGCTAACCCCCAGAGTTGCAGGAGCCCCACCAATGAATGTCAGCCCGAAAGAACATATGCTGATTTAGTGGATCCATTGCCCTCAGGTACAATGGCAACAGGCTCTTCCTCAGCTAGAAATGACAACTTCGGGAGCTTTGCAAGGACACAAGAGGGTCTTGGGTTGAAGAATATTGTGGCCACTTTTCACCACTTCACCATCACCTGAAAAGCATCCATTAGGGTCTAATAGTAGAGACCTTGAATCTTGCTTGGAATTAAAAGGAAACAATTATTATAAAACATAACAATGAATGATCAATACTAATGCAATACATATATTACATTAGTATGAATTGTTCCATTAATTTTAGTTTGAGAGTCACATGGATAAAAGCCAGTCAGTTTTCTGCACTATTTTTACATCTTATCTAGAACACTACTGCAGGCCCAATTTTCACTTTAAATTAAGGACTATCATCCAGGGAGGATCAGGGGGTGCATGCAGTGGTGCAGTTGTACATCCCCATTTAATTCTTGTTCTACCCACACTTCAAAACCAACTGCCTGGGAGGTGATGCAACATTTCTATTCAGGCAGTGCTGAGTCAATTGACCTCATAGTTTATCATCATCTCCCTGATTCCTGCTAATCTCTCTCCACTCCACAGGTGTTAATGACCCTCTATTCTTTTTAATAGTCTTGATATTCCACTATTCAAACTATCCTTTATTCTTTAATATTGCTGTCTGTTAGCTATTTCTGGTAATGTCTCTCCCATGTCACAGACCTGCAGATACTTTTGTGTTCTAGCTAAAAACTTTTACTCAGGTGAGGTAATATTAGCTCAGGTGTACAAATGGCTGACAGTGAAGTACTAGACTAGAGGCACTGTCAAAATGCTCAAGAAGGCTAACTTTTGTTTAATGAATCTGAATAAGAAATGTACATTTAACTATAATAATTACAAAACTAATGACAAAATAACTTCTGAGTATTTTTCACGTAATTTGTTGTGTTTTTTTAAATGTAATATATACTCTAGCAAGTTATTGCACATTCTAATAGTTATATTTATTTTTGCTTTGATCTTAAACTGAATACTATAATGCTATCCTCTTAGCTTATTAGTAAAGCTTCTAGTTTAACTGGAAAAAAATATGTTTTGTGTTATAATGTGGTGCCACACCATCTATACCCCCTCTTTTCAATATCCTAGATCTTCCCATGGCTACAGTTGGTCAGCATGTCAAAGGAAAAGCTGAACCATCCACAAAGTGGAAAGTTTGGAAATGTGATGGTGAGTTGATACTATTAACGGAAATATGTGAAAAAGATTGAGCTAATAGATTAAAGACACAGAACAACAATAAGTTACAGTTTAACACTGACAAGGAGGGATGGTGTCTGTGTGCATGTGATCAGCAGAGGAAGGAAAAAGGTTTTGCAGTCCTTTCTGTTTTCCAGCTAAGTGTGTACCCAGTGCAGTTGTATCACTGTTTACTTTAATCCTTTATATACCGAACTTGTGTATCATCATGTCATGATTAAAAAACACCTCTAAAATTTATGTTTCCATAAACCACACTTACCTTATCCAATAGTTCCTAGGCACAGCTAAGCCCCGATTTGTATGGCAGTGGGTGATAAGGAGTTTACTATTTGCCTGGGGGAAAAAAACCCCAAGAAAACTCATTTAATGGTTTAAAGATGACTGTTGAATACTTTCTGCCATTAAAGTTAACTTTTTATTTACTAAATCTAAATCTGTTAAAAACAAAAGCTTCTGACTTGGGGCTGTTTTATATCTCATTGATTCTGAAGTTTCCAAGGACTGTGAACATTAATTCTTTTATGCCCTAACTGCATGTGTCTGCTAGCCCAGAACAGCTGAATGCACAGCACTTGGGCCATACATTCTCCATCCTCCAATACACTGCATCTGTTCCTGGCCACACCCCCATAGCAGGAACCATAAAAATAAGCCCAGGGAGGTTTGTTCTGTTGCTCATATGCTCTTACACTGGGTGCTTGTTGGTGGAGTGCTCCAGATGGCTTGAGGCACAATCCAGAACTGAGGCCTTTGCATTTCCATAAATAGATTTTTAAAGTATTATTATATATTTATAATGAGGATTTTAGTAATTTTTTTAAAGAAGAACAAAATTAATATTAAATTAACCTGTTTAAAATAGACCTGAAAATGGGATATTTGTTTTGAAAAACTTAATTTTAATCAAGTGTATGGATTAAAAATTGGCAGCAGAATGGTTCTTTTTATAATAGAATAATATTGCTTTGCACTCACACCAAGGGATCTTAGTGACCCTAGAAACTTTGACCAAAGGATCTCAAAGCAGTTTAGAAATATTAACTTGACTTCCAGCAACTGTGTGAGATAACTAAGTACTGTGCCCATACAACACATTCACAGTGAACAGCCAAGTTTTCAAAGTGGCTATTGATACTGGCTGCCTGGATTGCTAGAACCTTTTGGTGCCTAACTGTGAAAACTCCTAAGAACCCACAGCTGTTCTTAACAGCAAGAGTTGAGTACTCAGTATACCTGTAAGTTAGATGCTAGTGCATAAGTCAATTCCCAAAACCTAACTTACCAAAAACGAGGGGGTGCTTTTGAAAATTATGGACAAAATAATTCCTCTGAAATCACTTGGGAATTGAACCTCAAAGCCAAGAGTTCTGGATCCCAATTCCCTGCTCTAACCATTAGATATAACTGATCTAACAAAAGACTGATCCCCCTCAAAAACCTGCAGTTCATAGTTTATATATAAAAAAAAATGCTTCTCGCCATGCAGCTCCAAAAGCTATAATGAATAAAATCACTGTAGTTTCTTTAAACCAGTTGTTTTATTAGCTTAATTAAACCCTCATAATATGAATTATTTATCATTTCTTACAGGAACAGGAAATCCTTCATATTCTAAGCGCAGTTGTGGATCCAGAAAGGTAGCTTGCCAACACGTCAGATAAGAGAGTTCATCTGTCAAAAACACTTGCTGAAGGTATGATTTTTTAGCAAATCTCATAAATGATTTATGGTCACTTCCTAGATATAACTATAAATGGAAATGAAAGTTAATGGCAACATAAGTTTAAGTGAATGAAACTTGTAAGCTAAAACAGAACCAGAAACAATATTTCACATTTATCAATGTCACGCTGTTAAAATATGACTTAAAAAAACACTCATGTAGTTCTCAAAAATCTCTTACAAAATTATTTTTCTGGAGCATAGAATCTAAGTGCAAGCAAAAAGTGCATGACAAGTTGTGCAAAAAATATATGCCATTAAGGGTTACCTTTTATATTCTAGTAGTATTGTATCTTTATTGTAGAAATATGTGCTTTTACTCTTAATAGGCCTATTCAAACTTTCAGTTATTGAATGGATGCTGGATTATCCCCAGCATGTACTGCAGTTGTAAAAAAGAAGTGTCTTTACAACAGCACAGATAGACTCATTGCTTGTCGAAAGTCAGTCAAAATACCCATTAAGTAGCCCAAAATCCCAATTTAGAGTTCTTCCAGCTAATCAGTGTGTGGATTGGTTATGTTGCAGTCAAACAGAACTGGTGAATACAAAAGCATAATCAGTAGGCAAATCTGTATTTGAAAGGTTCTCTGTAATACAAACAAGGTTTTGGATGGGGGAGGTAGGAGTAGAGGGAGAGGGGTAGGAATCTATCCACAGCATCTGTGGTGATTTTATTTTGTCAAAGGCATGTGTATACTTTGCCTTGTCTTCTGTGTTCCTATCTTGTGAGCAAACACGATGTTAAAATGTACTAGCATCCTTCTCCCTGACTCTAACTGATAGACTAACAAGATACTTAGTTTTAACAAATACAGACTCTTTCAAAGGATTTGGATCCTCTCATTATAAAACCTTTCCTTCACTTAAGGGAAGAATTCAAAACATCTGCTTTCTGGTGGTAATGGACTGTGGGGATTAATGAGACATTTAAAATGCCCGTTTTGTAAAAAGCTGTCTTTCAAATAAGAAAACCCTCTAGGTCCCTGCAAATTTGCCTTAGGTCTTTTAAACAGGCCTCCTGTTTCAGACCAGTGACGATCAGAAATGCAGGCAAATATTGGTCAGGAAAACAATTTCTAAGGGCCTCAAACTGTTTATTTGTAAAAAGGAGTGTGATTTGGATACAGTCTGAGCCACATACAGTGGACTCCTTTGATATTCAAAAAATTACCCACAACATGCAAGACCAGCAGATACCCCTTCTAGGTCACCTCAGCTCTATCAATGTTGTGGTTTTTAAGGTTGCTAATAGAAAAACAGGGGTTCTGATTAACAATGAAGCAAACAGCTGGACTCTGACTTGCAAGGTAACTGGCTTTAATGAGTGGGAACAGGTGAAAGGAGACTGTTCCCATATGGATTAGCAGACAGGTTAACATCTAGGCCGGCGCGAGTCGGCAGCAATCCGATCTGGCTTCGGATCCGGCCGCTTTGGATGGCCACGATCTGATTCAGAGCTCTAGACCGGGTTTCTGCCTCGATCCCGCCAAAATGGCTCCGAAGCTTCGGAGCCACCTCGGAGATCCAGCCATAGGGTATAAAGGGGAATCAACTAAATATATATAACTTTGCTGTTTTTTGTCCAATTTGGATTAAACTTGCAGGGATGGTAGCCTCTGCTAAGAGCATGAAACCTGCCAGGTTTCAAGATCGGTGCAGGGGTTAGGGGGGAACTGCACCCCAAATTCTTGAAAGCCAAACTCATGTCACGGCTGTGTGTTACACCACAGGGGGGTCAAAACTGCAGGGGTGGTAGCTCTTGCTGAGGCCACAAAGCCTGCCAGGTTTCAAGGAGATCGGTGCAGGGGTTTGGGGGGAACTACACCTCAAGCTGCGGACAAGCAAAACTCGTGCCATGGGTGACACTGCGTGTGTTCAGGCGCAGCGGGGTGACAGCTGCAGGGATGGTGGCCCCTGCTGAGGCCACAACGCCTGCCGGCTGTCGAGGAGATCAGTGCAAAGGGGTTCTGGGGCCCTGCACCCCTAGCTGCTGCCAGACAAAACTGGTGCCAAGACGGTGTCTGTCTTGAGGCAGTTGATTGTCTGTATTGATTCTTTCCTCTCCTTAGCCTGGTTTTGTAGGTGCTCAGTGATGCTCGTTAAGTCATTATGTAGTAGCTAGGTCCTGTGTATTGAGCTGGTCCCTGAGTCCCTGGGTGAATCATGATTGATTGGTAAGTGGGAACACAGCAGCTCAGCAGCCAGGCCTGCAGCAGTGTCTCCCCTCGCTGCCCCAAGACGGACATAGTCAGTCCCACAAGCACCCATG